AGGAATTAACAATAGAATTTTAGATTTAAATGCGGAAGACTTAAATAAAAATGGCATTTTTACCTTAACTACTTAGGATAACTTTGTAATTTGTTATTTGGGAATAATTCGGGTTATTTAAAAAAAAATGGTCATTTACTTAAATTAGAAGAAGCACATAAAATAATATGTGATAAAAAGCATGGTCTACATCATATTCCTGAAGTAGGCGTAGCCATGACTTTTCAGTCTTTTCAATTTTACTATAACTAATTTAGAAGAAGAATTTGTAATACCAAATTTAACCAAATATGATGTCCTTTTATTTTTTTTTAATTTTTAGAATATGGTTTTACTAGGGATTGTTACTTATAACTTGCCAAATTATATTTATGTAGGAAATTAAAGTATCAGTATCTTCGGGCGGTTTTTTTAATGATATGCAAGAGGCAATGATGTATGAGTAAAGTATTCCATTAACTTATACTCAGGTTATTTTAGACAATGAAAATACAAACGTGGGTGAGTCATTAGCTGTAGAAGGCTATTATAAAAACAGAAATACTAATTATTGCAATATTATTTATCAATATTTAGTTATACTAAAAATATTAACAAAAATATGCGGGAAAATCAATTAGATCTTAATAATTTCAATTCCAATAAAAGATCTAAATGAGATATTCAGTTTTTAGGTAAGATGTTTGATTTTTGTTGTAATGTTGCTATCGAAAAATACTAAAATCTGTTTATCCTAATGAACAAAATTTAAAAGATCAGTTTAATAAATTTAAAGATGTTTTTACTTCATCGCAGAGTGATATCATTAATCACTTCGCAACTTAATTATTATACTTCTAATATCAACATTAAAATTGAATTATTAAAAACGGCGTTTCAAAAAATTAATGATGAAAATAGATATAATGCAATGATGGAAGATAATAACCTTAATAATTTAACTCAAGGGATATAAGATATACTTTTTATTATCATGACAGTATTTTCTAAATTAATTGATTATGAAAGAAAGTCTAATACATATTTACATTACAAAAATAATAAAATCCCACCAAGAGTAATATCTACTGATATACTTTACAAAGATTTATTGAAATTACAGAAAACAATAAATGGAGACGGTTATGAACTAGTTATTCCGATAAAAAATTTACATTCTCATTACTATTTACTTATTGCTGAATGTTAGTTTTCAGAAACTCAAATATTATTAAAAACAAAAATTCCAATCAAAGAAAGAAATTCAATGTGGAAACTTTTGCAATATATTTTTGCTGCTCATTTCAAATTCCACGATTCCATTTGTTTAATCTATCGTAATACACTCGTCACTATCACAATATGATATAACAGAGGGCTGCTCTGTTTGTGTCCACAATAATGGTCGATCATTTAATCTTTCATTTAAAAATTTTTAACACTTTTATTTATAAATTATATTCATAAGCTTAGAATATCATGATAGTTTTTTTCTTTAAGAAAACTCATAAATTATACTTGTCAGCTCTTTTTAATCCTATCTTAATAATAAAACACATTATGTAAACCTTAAACTTACATATAAAAACTAACTAATATAACATTATATAAAGTGTCGAAATGATTTGTATATTATTCGCATGTATTAATTTATATATTTAATGTATTAATTCATATATTTTATGTTATTTTGTAAATTAATTTATATATTTTATGATTACTTGTCAATAAAATAATAACATTGCGAGAATGACACAATGATGATTGATCGGGGATAAAAAAATACTATAAATGGGCTGAGTGCTGAGGGATTGAAAGAGTCTGTCTCCAGATATTCATTGAGCTGTTCGAATCGCGCTCTCGACATCGATACGTAAAGTTCGTAATCATAATTGTCGAAATTCTTACGTGTTAATTTATGAACTAAACATTTGAGTTCGTATTATTTTGTTATTACCTGATATTGTTAAAATTTATTATAATAACAAAGAAAAATCTTCAGGTAAGACTACAAATCAATAATAGTCAATACTTATATTATCTTATAACTCAATTAATTAGAATTAATAATCTGAGTATAGAACGATAAAGCAATAGATCAAATAAGTATATTAATCTTTAAACTTCAATTAATTATTAACTAGTTCGTACCTTTTACATAGTCACATTACATGGTATTCGTGAGATGGCCACCGTCTCTTCGATGCCTCAGTGTATTATTACAGGTACTTACTAGTTGAGTCAATTATAATATCTCTATAAGAGGAATCTTAATTAATACTTTTTATATATATTTGTCTTTATTGTTCTAAACCCTCGGATTCCACAACCCCGACACAACCTTGTTGCTCACCAATTGACCAAGTCCCCAAACATACATATACAATATATACCTTGTTTTTTATCGTAAATTTTTGAGTTATTACAAATCTTTTCAGAATATAGTTAATGAATTTAATGATGAACAGAGGGTTGTTACTGGTGTCGGGTTATAACACTGCGATCCACCAGTTACTGATTTAAGTTTTATTCCAAAATTTTCCGATGACGTAACTCTCTCACTAAGACGTGTGGAGGTGATTCACAAAAATTTACCATCAGAATAAATCAACCATGTTTGTTATTTCCAATGTATTAAGCAAATAGAAAATAACTATATTATTATGTTGTTATAATGTATATTATCATAATGATCCACTAGTTGACAATTTTTAGGAGATGTTATTTATATCTCTTGGCTGTCGTTACTAACTTTGGTCATGGCTTTTTCAATTTATAAAATTTACTCAATGTTTATCAAAGTAGACGTCATGGGTCTATCACCTCCCATACATCCTAAATATCAAACATAATTTCTTACCATCGTTATTTTGTTCGTTTTTTTTTCTTCTCTTCCCTTCTCTTTTAACTGTTTATAGTCCTATTAATAAACTAAATAACTACCCACAAATAAGTATAAAAATACAAAGCGACAAACCATTTAATCAAGATGGCTCGACCAAATGGAGTGTTCTTTATTAGAGTGAACCAAAAGTAAGGTTTTTTTATGATATAATAAGGTAAATGAAATTGGGTGTGTTGATTAATTAATTTGAAGTTTTGAGACCTTGAATAAATTTAATCATCTTACTTTCGGTTACTATAATTCAGTTTGTTTAATATTATTGGAGTCGTGGAGTCCGAGGGTTTAAAGAATGACAATACAATCAGATTAAAGGGTTATGATGAGTATTGAAATTTAATGTATGTATCAAATTTATAAAATTTGGTAAATCATTTGAATAGTCTCACGTTTCAAAGGCACGAGCTTAGGTCGGCAAACTATGAAACGTAATAAGAAAATGCGTAGGTACGATCTTAGGTCAAGCACTTCGAACGCATTTAATAATTCTCCTGACAAACCACTTAATAAATTTAATATGAGAAAGATAAGTTAATTATTATTGTTTTGTCATTCTCTTCTCGGATTAAATAATTCCAAATTATTGAAATGACAATGTATCACCTACTTTATAATGTTTTCTGCGGAATTGAAATGAACAGACTGACAAGTTTTCTTTTTGAATATTTGAGACTGGTGGTCAATTGCTGTGTTTGATTCTTGACTTGAAAAATGGAATGAGCTGAGTAAGTTGTATAGCTTTTTTACGACTTTTTATATGAAATCTATGATCTATATATGTCACCAAAATGTAAGAATTGACCACCAGGGCTCTCATCTTTATTGAAATGAAAATTATAAGCAGGGATAATATGTTACATTGGTTATGGTACATTTGATTTTTCTTAGGGATACTGTTACTTAATACATTGTCTTTGTAGATTAATTTACAGTGTTTACATTTATGATACAGATATTAAGCTTAAACTGAACAAGTACATACATTGTATTCATTACATCAGTGATTATGCTATGATATCAATGTAAGATAATTATTTTATTTTGTGATAAACATTGCGAATAATATTAAATTTGAGCGTTGAACGGTATCACAGCATCCGCCCTAATTTTTTTAAATGTTGTGTCCTCAAAACAAAATGTTATAATGTAAGAATAGTGATATTTAAAGGGGTACAGATTTAAACTTCTTAAGTAAGTGTTTGGATAAAAAAAATATGAAAATTTACATATTGTATTGAACATTACTTTGTAAAAGGTTGTAACAACGGTATTTAAGTATTATTATTATTTTTTTTTTTTTAGCAAAGAATAATTTTTGATATTAATTTTAGTGTATAGTTACATAGTCAGAGTATAGTGAAAGAAAAATTATTTAGTTAATTGTACAATGTGATTTTACATTTTTGAGAAATCTGGTCAAGTTACAAAAGTATACATGAGAAGTAATAGAAGTATTGGTATGATATTTTTTATGAGTACAATAGCTTAAGTAATAATAGTATTTATCGTATCGTTTGATTTTATATACTTGATATATTTTAACAGTATCATGAATAATTAGTGTAAACATTTGTGATTACAGCAGTAATAGTAATTATAAATTTTCAAATACTGTTATGCCAGTATGGATAATAATAATAATAGTAATAAGTGTAATATCTGATTGTACATTTTTTTGATTTTGTTCAAAGAACAAAATAGACATGAATAATTAACTTAATGTTGTTAAGACAGCATGTATAGTGATTATAATTCTAGTAACAACTACAATAGTTGTTTTTACATTTTTTTTTTTTTATTTATTGTATGAAATAATAAATAGTAATGAGAAAATTATGACTTAAGTATAATAATAACTATGAAAGCATAATAAGTATAAATATCTTTTATAATAATAATTCGTTTTATAATTTAAAATATAGTGTGGTAACCAATGTAAAATGTTCTAAATATATTTTTTTTGTATTTTCATAGTATCTTATAATTTTTTGTGTTATCTTATCATTTTTTATGTTTTCTTATCCATTATTTTGATTTAAAAAAATAGTTTTATAATAAGGATAATAATATTGTAATATAGGTCATTATTTTATAAAACTGAAAACAAAGCATTTTTGTAATGTTAGGTTTAACTATGATNTATTTATAAACATTTTTGAAAATTATGGCATTATGAATCTCTTGATCTATTATTACTAAAATATAATATAGTCTATTATTTGTAAACCTAAAAGTAGAACACTTTTGTAATGTTTGGATTAATTGTAATTCCCCGAATTATTGTTACTAGATCAGGAAATAAATATTTATAAACCTTTTTGAAAATGATTACTATATGAAATTTATAAAAAGACAAACAAAATATTTTAGTATATAAGATGAAACGGAATGAATTAAAAAATAAAGAAAGAGAAGACCTCGGGAGTACCGAAGGTAATCTCTTTCCGTGTGGTACGTTTGTGACTTTAAGTTTTTATTTTGTGTATTATTTATTTATCCGTTTTTAAGTGAATCAATATTTTATATCTTTTTATTTTGATTGATTATATCTTTATTAACTACATTTTGCGTTATTATTGAATTACTAAAAATATAAGTTAGAACAAAAAGATTGTTCAATATATAAATACAACAAAGTGGCGCCCAACTAGCGACTCGAGCACACGACTCCGAGACTATACTTATATTGTAATAGAGTTTCATATTTCAACCAGGTCAAATATCAAGGTTAGTATTATTGTTCTGATTATTTGACAATAACGTTTTTATAAGTTTTTATGCGATTTTAATAATTTTTGTGTTGATATTGAGCACTAATTTTGTTTGAATTTTTTTTGGTTTATAATGGGATATGAAACATACCAGAAAATCTGAAATAAATAACTCTATCAAGAGATTNCAGAGAATCTGAAATAAATAACTCTATCAAGAGATTAACCGATATATATATTTTAAAGAAAGCAGAGTTAATAACTATTTGTGAAAATTTAAAATTAGATTATACTGGGAAAGTAGATGAATTAAGATCTAGATTAACTAGATACTATAAGGGTATTATTAATATAGAGGATATTGATAATAAATTAAGTCTAGAAGAAAAACAGTTAATTCTAAAAGAATCTTCTAATAAAAAAATTGATCTTAAGAAAATAGAACGGGATTTAGGATTGAATAACTCTAGTTCAGATTCTGAACCTAGTAATACAGAGAGGCTTTCAAACACATTATTAAATGAATGTAATGTATTGTGTGATAAATTAAATGTTAGCACTGATCATATTGTAGAAAAGGTGGAAAATTTTTTAGATACTAGTGAAAATTTATACAGTAATAATTTTTTTGATAACGGTCTTTATACTAACTCTTTTTTTACAGAGGTAGCTAAAAATAAAAAAATTGTAACTTTTTCTGATGATAATGATTATGAAGAAATAAATTTATCACAAAATAGTTTTAATTCTCCGAATTTTCAAGTAAATAACGAATATATTGAAACAAGTTCGAATTTTAATTCTAATACTGAATCAAAAAACGACTTTGTAAAAATAACTGATAACAAAAACATAAATACTAATAACTGTAAAATAAATTTAATTGAAAATACGGAGGAGAGTATAATGAATAAAAATATGACAAACACAGTAAAAACTTTAATGATTAAACCTGAATGTTTTGACGGAAGTGATGATGTATGCCAATTTTTTAAACAATACGACAAGGCAGGAGAAGTCAATGGTTGGACTGATGATGACAAGGTAAAATTTTTATCTATTTTTCTTAAAGGTACAGCTAGTATTTTTCTTGAAAATTTAGAGGAAAAATTCGCCTCATGGAAATGGGCAGATTTAAAACAAGAATTTATTGAGGAATTTCAACCAATAGGGTATGTGACATTATTAAAAAATAAACTTGAAAATAGGCGACAAAATGACTTAGAGTCGGTAATGAGTTTTGTAACGGAAGTAGAAAATCTGTGTAGAAAGGTAGATAAAAACATGTCTGAAGATCAAATCTGTACCTACATTTTAAGGGGTCTTAAAGAATCTGTTTTACACGCTATTTCTTTACACGATAATTCTGATTTAAAAAAATTAAAAGATAATTTAAAAAAATTCGAACTTATGCAATTCAGAATAAATAACAGAGGACCATCTTTTAGTGATTATACTGACATTTTAAATCAACAGGTGACCCAATTAGATAAATACTCTAAAGCTAGAGATGAGGAGATTAAAGATTTAAAAAGACAATTAGAGGAAAGAGATTTATCTTACAGACGTGAGATAAAAGAATTAAGTGAGCAGATAAAAAACGTACAAGTATTAGAAAGAAAACCTTACAGAAATAATAATTTTAATGACTATAGAGAGAAGAGTCCGCACCCAAGAAGGCGATATAGTAGTAGAAATAATAGTAGAGACAAAAATTATTATGATAACAGGAGAAATAGGTCTTATTCTAGAGATCGGGATTCTAACGTGAATAATTCTAGATCTAGAGAAAACAGTTATGATAGACGATTTAGTAATAGTCATGGTCAAGATATAGAGCGCAGTCGGGAGAGTGAGCGAAATAGTAGAGGTAGATATTCAAGATCTATTACGCCTAGTAGTTATAATAGATCAAGCAACGAAGCAAGAGACAACCTTGACATTGTGTGTTTTAACTGTGGTAAGAGAGGTCATAAGTCTAACATTTGTACTAATCCAAAAAACGTGAGTTTCACGAGTTAGATAATGAATTCGGATATCTAACTCGGGAAAATAAATACGGTGAAAATATTTTTTCCGAAAAAGAAAAAGATAAATTTGATTTAATAAATTTTGTGAGACAGTGGTACATTGGTTCTGAAAATGAAATAAAAAATAAGCAAATTGAAAATTTAGAAAAAGAATATTTAAATAAATTAATGATTAAAGAAAGAGGTGAAAGAGTTTTATCAATCGAAGTAGAACTATATAATAAAAAAAGGTTTGGAATTATTGACACAGGTTCTAATATCACGTGTATTGATTATTCCTTAACAAATAAAAATGATATTTTTAATAATAAAGATAATGTGATTATAACAGGTGCGGATAGCTCAGAATTAGAACAATTAGGTATGGTAAATTTACAATTAAAAATTAATGGGGAGTTGTACTTTATTAAAGCTTATGTAATTAAAGGCTTAAATTGTAAATTATTATTAGGTAATGATTTTCATATCAAAAATGGTTTAATTATTAATTTTAGAAATAAAACAATTACTTTAAACAATAATAATGTAGTTAACATGGACGATATTTGGTTTAATTTTAATTATGATAACAATTTTGAAAAAAAAATAGAACGCATAGGTAGTTTAAATTGTAAAAAAGATTATATTGGTAAAATTACTGCTAAACAAAATATTATGATCGCCCCGAAGTCCGTCGAAAAAATAAATATAAACATCGACTCAAAGGAAGGCAATAATAATTATATCGTAGAACCTGTTAAACGATTAAGTAAACATAAATATTTGACTCTCGAATCAAATACAATAAACACTGACACAGGTCAAATTACCGTTTAAAATTTTTCAAATGTTTACTGTAATATTCCTACCGGGATGAAAATCGCTGACATTATAGGCGCGTGTGATTCTAATACGAATAAAAATGTTAACACTATAAATAATGATTATAGGCTACAGGGAGATATTTTTGACAAACAAGGCAGTCCGATACAAATTTCGTCAGAATTAAGTTTAGACCAACGTAAAAAAGCAGTGGGTTTAATTAATAAATATAAACATCTTTTTACTTCTGACCCATTAGATATTGGTTGTGCTAACGTTGAACCGTGTGAAATTTTATTAAAATCGGATAAGCCAATTTTTCAATCTCCATATAGAGTCGCGCCAATGCAACGAGAAAAATTAAAAGAATTAATTCATCAAATGATTGAAGCAGATATCATTGAGCCCAGCAAAAGTAGTTTCGCTGCTCCTGTTTTCCTTATTCCGAAAAAAGAGAAGGGAGAATATAGATTTTTAGTAGATTTTAGGAAATTAAATGAACAAACTATAAGCGATAAACATCCTATACCACGAGCGGATGACCTTTTTAGAGCCTTAGAAGGTGCTAAATATTTTTCTTTCATAGATATGACACAATCTTATTTTCAGATCCCCATTAAGGAGGAAGATAAAGAAAAGACTGGTTTCACAACTGACTTTGGTCTTTTTCAATTTAAAAAATTAATGCAAGGTTGGAAAAATAGTGCTCCATATTTCCAACGTGTAATGAATAATTTGTTCAGTGATTTATTATATAGGTCTATGATAAGTTATCTGGACGATATTTGTACCTTTGGAAAATCTTTTGAAGAAGCATTACAAAGATTAGAGTTGGTTTTTGAAAGGTTAGATGAGGCTGGTTTGAAGTTAAAGACTAATAAATGTGTTTTCTTTAGTTCTGAAATTGAATTATTAGGCCATAAAATTTCAAAAGATGGAATAACGCCTTTGGAAAAAAATATTAAAGCTATAATAAATTTTCCTAAACCAAAAAAAATTAAGGATGTGAGAGCTTTTATTGGCTTGACTAGTTATTATAGAATATTTATTAAAAATTTTGCTAAAATCGCTGGTCCTCTCACAGATTTGAACAAAAAAGAGAAAGTTTTCGAGTGGGGTAATGAACAAGATTGGGCTTTTGAAAAATTAAAAAGGGCCATTATAACTACTCCAGTTTTGGCACATTTTGAGAATGGTTTTCAGGTTTATGTCACCACGGATGCCTCACTTGACGGTTTATCAGGAATACTTGAGCAAGAAGGTAGGGATGGTAAAAGGCATCCTGTTGCTTACGCATCTAGAAAGCTCAAAGGAGGTGAAAAAAATTTTTCTACCACGGAATTAGAAATGTGTGCTGTAGTTTTTGCTGTAAATTACTTTAGGGAATTTTTAATAGGTAGGAAAGTGATTGTTTTTAGCGACCATGCTAGTCTTCAATATTACAAAAATATGAAAAACCCATCTTCTCGTATTACTAAATTTATTTTTAAACTATTAGAATTTGACATCGAGATAAAACATAAACCGGGTTTATGGAATCAAGCTGCGGATTGTTTATCTAGATATCCTGTAAATATTTTAGAAGAAAGTCTAGAGGTCACAGACTCGGAAGTTAACAATGAACTAAGTAGTATTGAGGTAATAAAAGAAGAACAATCTCGAGATGAGTTTTGTGTTGGCATTTGTGAGGCTATAAATAATAATAAATATAATAAATTCAAAAGACAATCTAGACATTATTGTATTAAAAATAATCTGTTGTATTACAAAAATTGGTCTCCATATGGTATAAATTTTCTTTTAGTTATTCCAAAGAACTTAATTAACAATGTGTTGAAAGCTTACCATGAATCTGTATTGAGTGCACATTTTGGGATAAATAAAACCCTGCTTAAATTAAAACAAAAATATTATTGGCCAAATATGATTAAAGATACTAATAATTTCATAAAAACTTGTAAGTCATGTCAATTTTTAAAAAATCCGGTGGGTAAACCTGCTGGCTTATTACAGCCAATTCCTTTAGAAAGCTCAAGGCCAGCTTCCAGATTCTGTATTGATTATTTAGGACCATTAATACCATCTAGGGGANTAGGACCATTAGTACCATCTAGGGGGAAAAAATATTTAATTGTTGCTACTTGCAATTCTACTAAAATGGCTTTTACTAAAGCTGTGTCAAATGCCAATGCCCAGGCTACAATTGAATTCTTAGTCGACCTTATCACAACATTTGGGCCTCCTAAAATTTTACAAAGTGACAGGGGAACTCACTTTAAGAATAAAGAGGTTGAAAAGGTCTGTAGGAGTTTAGGTATCACACAAATTTTCTCAACAGCCTACCATCCACAAACTAATGGGCAAACTGAATTAATGAATAAAATTCTTTGTAACAGTCTAACGCATTATGTTAATAAAAACCAAAAAGATTGGGCTTTGTATTATAAGATGGTGACTTTTGCTTATAATTCTTGTCCACACTCAAAACTTGAATTTAGTCCTTTTTTCTTAATAAATGGTTTTGAACCCAATCAGCCCATTGATAATAAAATCTTACCCGAGGACGATTCTTTCGAATTATCAAAAAATATTAATAAACTAAAGGAAAAAAGGGATGAAATTCCTAAGTTAATAAAAATTGAACAAGATAGACAAAAAAAATACTATGATAAAAATCACAAAGAAGGTAGCTTTGAACCTGGTCAATTGGTTTTAATCAAATTTAATGTGCATGAACCAAATATTTCAAAAAAATTGTCATATAAATATCGCGGTCCATTTAAAATTATTGAAAAATTATCCGACATAAATTATAAAATCGCTCTAACATTAAATGGTAAAAATACCATTGATACTTTTCATGTTCAGAGGATAAAACCTTATTATAAAAGAAATGCATAAATGTATATATAAATGTTATTATTATTACTTTGTAAAAAATTATTATTCATTAATTATTAAGTTTTGCTTATTTAGGTATAAAATGAATAAAATAAGGTTTGTAATCATTGACTTTGAATTTGGTATGTATAACAAATTTGATTTAGTATTAATCTCTGGTGCCATTGGCGGTAGCCGGGATCTAGAATTAATTTTGCATTTGGAAGGAACGCCATTAATATTAGGAAATAACATTACTAAGTTATTAGACAATCAGATAGAACCACTCAAAGAGAGGATGAAATGGATCTTTAGGAAAAAAAAAAAAAATTAATTCCACTTTTTGCAGAATTAAGAATCAGTACGGCAAAAAACAATGCACAAAATTTAAATTATAATTCTATTAATACTTTTATTAAATAGATTGGCCACTTGTATAATGAAGTCATTTTAATAACGTGGAGTGGTTCTACTGATAAGGTTATTTTAAAAAAATTGGGTATTAACAATAGAATTTTAGACTTAAATGGCGAAGACTTAAATAAAAATGGCTTTTTTACATTAACTATTAAGGATAACCTTGGTAATTTATTATTTGGGATTGATTTGGGTTATTTTAAAAAAAATGGTCACCTACTTAAATTAGAAGAGGCACATAAAATAATATGTGATAAAAACATGGTCTACCTCATATATCTGAAGTTGACGTAGCCATGACTAGGTGTCTCTTCAATTTTGCAATAGTTTTTATTTTGTGTATTATTTATTTATCCGTTTTTAAGTGTATCAATATTTTATATCTTTTTATTTTGATTGATTATATCTTTATTAACTACATTTTGCGTTATTATTGAACTACTAAAAATATAAGTTAGAACAAAAAGATTGTTCAATATATAAATACAACAATATTAATAGTGTTTATTAATAGCAGTAATATTTAATCTTGTGATGATATCAAGTTGATAACAAAAAAAAATTTTTTTTTTCATATTTTGTATCTTCTTAATTTTTTTGTGATTTTTACCTTATCTCAATTTTTTTTTATTTTACAAGTATGGTACTAAGACTAATTATAATAATGAATAATAATTATTAAGTAATAATAATAATAATAATATTAAGAAATTTTATGATGTTATCAACTGGATATTGGGAAAAACAAAAGAAAATTTTTGTTCAAAAATTCTTTTTTTTTTGCAATTGTATATTAAGTATATGAGAAATAAATGATAGTGGTAATTATGATGCATTCTAGTATGAATAAATGGTATAAAGAGAGAAAAAATAATAAAAGTAACAATTGATGGAGAAATAATTTTTATGAGATAAATATTTGATTCCTGTGAACAGGGGAGAATCTGTTATATTCATCTACTGCTCTAATTGCACAAAAATAATTTCTATTGGTATTGTAGATTGTGATACGACAAGACATAGTGATGGAACGAAAAGGTATGAAAAAACTTTGACTAGTAATATGATTTTGAATTAAGTTTTCTGTCCACAAAACTATTTCAAAATGTTTAGCTCTAGCCATATTATAATTGATATTAATGGACCAAAATAATGTAATGAGATTTCTAGTATTTGTTAAAGTAAGAAAAGGTCGTCGTAATGGTTCTTTGAATTCTTGTTTTATTTTCGGTCTAATTGGAAAAAAATTGTTCGCCAAACGCCATTCCCTGTGGATGGTAAAAATGATTTGAACTGTTCATAATCTTAATTTTCGTTACTGTTTCGCAACAATTTCCTAGATGTAATTTTTTTATTAGAATTAATAGTTGTATAAATAAATTTCGTGATGGCCCAAAAAAAAAAAAAAATGTTACTGAAGTGTTAATATAAAGGTAAATTAAGCCTAGCATTTCATTAGTATAATTTTTAAACAAAGAAAGAAAAAAAAATTATTTAATTTGAAATATTAAATTTTGTTGCTCGTTTTTGTTTTCTGTATTTTATTCTTTCTTCTCTGGTTGGTTTAGGAAATAGATAGACAGATTGACCATAACGCCACACGTAGAATTTGGTATTGTCGTAAATTGTATTTGGATCATATTGAGTGTGTATTGGTTTAAGCAAATTCGCATATCTATAGTTGTGCAGTGGTATTTGCATGATGTCGTCAAACATTATTCTATATTTTGTTGATTGAGATCTGGATAGGGAAGAAAACGAAAGTTTATTTGAGTGTTTGGTGGATTAGGTGTTTTTGCTTAGACATTGTATAAATCAACAACATTATTATATTGTTGTTGATGATTTTGGTGCATAAAGTTATGTGTAATATTATTAAAGAGTCCACCAAGGAGTCTAATGCTCCAGCCAAATGTATTGTATAGCAATTGTATATTCATGCAAGCATTTATAATCAAGATGATGATTTTAATCATAAAAATAATACCCAATACACCAGACATCACTGAACTAAAGTATGTGAATCATCCCCACATTTTGTGTAATTTATCTTCTACCATATCGCTTATGACAGTTGGGTCTATTAGTCTGTGTAAATTGAGTTGATTTGATACTTCATATCCTAAAGTTTGACGCACTATATTATTTTGTATTGCTGTAACTTCTTGAGCAAACATTAAATGTTTTTGTAATGCTTGCATTACATCTTGGTAAATGCCCACAGAGGTAAGATATTCTAGAGATTTGTATTTCCATGTGAATTTTGTTTCTGGATGTAGTGTTTGTGGTGTTTTTATTTCAGTCAAGTGTTGATTTAGTCTAAGTCATTCTCCTTCAATGAGGTATGTCGAAGAAAATCTGATATTACATGTTATTGCAGTTCCATACCTTTGTAGTATATGAGATTTTGGTGACATGAAATATGATTGATTTTGGTATAGTATAGGCAATTCATTGAAACAAGTATCCTTTTTAGTTATTTTGACCAGAACTGGTTTGCACTTCATTAAATATATAATTTCTCCATTAGAGACCGCCACACAACCGTTTGTCTCACACATGGCATATGCGAATTCTGTCAAACTAAGTGGCCAAAGATAATGTTTGCAAAAGTAATTTACGTTCTAATAGACACTGTTTTGTTATTATGTCTATATATAATTCATTTAACGACTGAGCAACTCGATATTTAAGCCAAACAAATTTTGTGTTGACATATGATATCAGTTCTGTATTCTGTGGAGATATTGGTTTTAGTGAAAAATCATCCATGCGATTAGCTAAAGTAATAATGTATAATTATGGGTGTTCTGTTTGTACTACTGGTGTGCCACAAGCAAAAACATTTTTTACATATTTTAGTGCAAATGCTATTCCTTCTGTTTCGACTAAAAAAGTTTTTGTTTCTTCAGTGGGATTTTGAAAAGTTTTAGAAGAGATAACTGCAGCTGGACCATCATAGAGGCCATCGTATTCTATGTCGCGATCGTGTGATTTTGTGTTCCATATTATTTCACCTTTGGATGAGTAAAAACCATATGCTGCTAATAATGGGAAACGAATACCATTTGGTAATATCATAGAATTGTCCCTATAATTTGCTGTTGCATAACCATCAGTAAGCGTTATTGATATGTGCCTCTGTTGCTAATTAAGTTGGTAATTCCCTTTGTGATCAATGGAACCTGCGATTGTGTAAGATGCTTTAGTTGTGTGATTGACTCGTAAGTTTTGTATGATTCCTCCTTGTGGAAGTTGGTAAATTAGTTTCTTATGAATTTCTTCACATCTAGCAGTACCTATTTCTGAGACTTCTGAATAATAGTTATCAGGTAATGCTTGTAAATCTCCAAATGTTGAACATTTGAAGATGAGATAGTCTATGGCTATGAGGCAGGTTTTATAATAAATGCTGTGAGTTTCATTTTTTTGTATTAATTTTATCCGATCTATTTTCATTGTTTTCGTTGGTAGAGGTTTTTCACATTGTGCTACCGAAAGACTATTAAATGACGTTATGTTCAAATGGTCTGCCGAACAGTCGTATGCAATGATTGAATGAGCTTCAATGAACACAGTTGAGAGTATGATTGATAGTAGCAGATTCATGTTTACCTTTATGTTATATAATATGAAATTAAAAATGTATATAATTTTAAATTAGATATAATTTTTTTTTTTTTTTTTAATAAACAATTTATTCCAAACATATCTATAGAAAAATTGTAGTTTATAATAATCTATTGTTTCCTTATAATATGGCGTATAGAGATAATTATTAAGTATCAGAAATAATATTACATTAATTGTGATATACTTGGTTTGCTACAATATGAATATATTGATAGTAGAGATGGAGAGAAAAAAAAATGTGTGTATGTATTATTTTTTTTATAATATAAGTATATTAAAAAAAAAATTCTTTAAAAATTATTGAATATTGATTATAAATCATATTGAGAAATTAGAAAATAATAATAATTTTCAAAAGGATATCATTCAACCTTGACTATTATTGCTATGCTATATTATTAAGCATATTGAAAATTACATGATAGATTTTTAATGTAATGTCCCTTCTTCTTTTTTTTTTTTATTTGTATGTGATGTAAATAAAATAGAATAATAAAATAATAGAATAAATTCAATGTAAATAAATCAAAAGTAATAATGTAATAAAGTATTTATGACATAAAATAGTTACTCTAAAAGTTAAGTAATTAATATTAGATTTGAATAAAATAATTTTATGTTAAGTATAATTTTGTATATAAGAGTAAAAGTAATATATAAAAATTAAATCTAAAGATTCAAAGGAATATATAATATTAGGAAGGAAGTGGTATATTGCTACATAAAGATTTCAATTACCTCATCACTACATTATAATGAGAGAATTCCAATCCTCCTCAGAAATCGAAGCATCCCCATATGTAAAATAATCAAAACTTCTAAAAAGGAAAAAAGATCTTTGCATAATCTAAGCACTCTGCAAAAGTGATGCAGAATTCAAATGATATGAATTCATAAGATATAGTTTTTTCGATTGTAATAATGTCATATTTAATTATGACATTTTTATAATCTAGTGTCCTATCATAACTCTACGTTTCATTTTCATTTAAAGAATCTGAACTATTTAAATATGTGAATGCCTATGGGTCATTAGAAACAGATCCTTTTTTTTCGGTCATTAGGTTATATTTACTTAAAATAGACAAATCTGTAAAATTTATGTTAGCTTTTTTTATGAGTATCAAGAAAATTATGTGATTCCAATAATTTTTTGTTGTGATTGGGTATTTTTATTTTTGATTAGGTTTTTTAGTCAAACTTCTACTAATTAGTCCCCCTTCCCAACATGTATGTCCATCATCTCATGGTATATTGGGTCTAAATTTAGCACTATACCACCTCCTCATGTCATACCACCAACTTCACATCGCACCCAGCATAGTTAGCTATTTCCCTAGCCAGAAACGATATCGGTCTCGATTTAAAATAATTGATTACATCCTGAGTCCATTGATAATTATATTTTGAGAGGTGATAATTATGTACCAGTCTTTCGATGATTTTCGTTAAAGAAACATTTGGGGCATAATTGTTTTACGTCACACACTCTTTGAACCTTCCTCCAGAAAGTGTTTTTTACGAAATAAATCCCATGACAAGATGGGTCCATACTATAATAACACAGAACAGAATTATAAAATGACTTTCCTTGATATATGTGTATTAATGATGTAATTTTATTACTTTAAGAGAAATTGTGGTGGTTACAACTCTATAATATTTGTTTATATAAGTTATTGTAAGTAAGAGAAAAGAAATTTTTTTTTTTGGTTATTTTAAATGTAAAAATGTTATATTATTAACAAGGTAGTATATTGAAAATGTGGAGAATTTTCATTTAATTAACATTGTTGTATGAGCGATATATATATATATATATATATTTTTGATTGTATGTTATTTCTTATGATTAAAAATATGATGTATCTTTGTTTGATATTTGAAATTAAGTTTTAAGATAAGAAATAATGTTATTATGTATATAGTGTTTATTCAAATATGTATTATTGTGTTGTGTATATAATGTGAAAGAAGAGAAAAAAAATTATGATATTAATTAGGTCGTTCCCCCTTTTTTTTTTTTTGTTATAAAGAAAAATGCTAAGTTAGATTTTGCCTAAAGAAAATATTATGAATTAAACGAGACTTTTTCTTTTTTTTTGATAAAATAGATCATGAGCAAACCAGATATTTATAATGTAAAAATAAAAAAAATGAATATCCATGTTGTTTAATATGGTAATAAGTATTTTTTTTATTTTTTTTTTAATTAGTTATTAGAACTATGAGATATTGTTTGAGAAAATAAGAGGGAGAAAAAGGAAAAGAAGTTGAAGAAAAATTAAACATGATATATTTCTGATTGTTCTTTATAGTATTTTTTTAATATGTGAGAGTAGCTGACATAACACCGTGCCCCACCGTGACAAGGTCGTTTGCTAATTGTGTATTGCTGTTTATGCGTTTTGTTTAGTCGCGACGATCACCCTGATTATAATAATCAATCTGACTTATGATTTTCGGTAGCATATATACATATATTGTAGATAAATATACACATATTCTATACTATATTGTTCGATATACACTTATATATTGGCTATTTAAATAAACAGCTGCCGTCACTAATTGTGTCGGTTATTTTATTCATTTTGTTACTTTCTTGTGTATGTGTGTCTATCACCGTATTATTTGTGTATGCTTTATAGCATTTCCCCCCTTTTTTTTTGTTTTATTGTCTGTGGTGTTGTGTCAGATGATATTTAGTAGATTATTTGATTTATTGTTATATGTTTAAAGAGGCTGTGATTTGACATTCAAATTATTAGGTTAGTATTGTGTTTACATTCACAAGCGTAGCCGCGCTGTTTTGTCTTAAATTATTTGTATAACATAATTGATGATTATGTCGTCGTATAAATCTGTAAATAGTGATAGACGGATTAGACTTATTTATCTACCTGTGGTACCTAACCATTTAAATGTTCGTGATGAATCGTATGGAGAAAATTACCTGGTCAGCCAGTTTTGAAAGTAAATATCTATGATAGGAAGTTTATTTTAATTTGGAAACTTAGATTTTTTTTTTTTTGAAAAGTGTTATATTTTATTCAAAATTTCTTAGAAAGTAAAGTTTTCGACGTTTTACATGCACTGTGTCATCACTTTCTTATTATTTAGTACTAATTCAATTATATAATTTAGGTCATTGACTTTCTTTATTATTTTAAATGGTCCTCGATATTTTGGTGCTAATTTGGGCGATTTTCCTGGTTGAGCAAATGGAAATTTTACTAATACTAAGTCCCCTGGGTCGAATGTTAATATGATATGTTTTTTGTCATAATTGTTTTTTTGTTTTTCCTGTACTTCTTTTATTATATTTGGAATTGTTTCTCTAACTTTCTTTAGATATTCTAATGATTGTAATATATCATACGGTATGTTTGTGGGCAATGTTTTATTATCTACTGGAAATGCCGGTTCGAATCCATGCATCAAGTAAAAAGGACTGTAACCCGTGCTAGATTGTGGGGTTGCATTGTATGACATTGTTATGTACGGAGAAAGTAGGACCATCGAGATTGTTTANTATGTACGGAAGAAAGTAAGACCATCGAGATTGTTTATCGTCTTCTATATAATTTCTTATTGACGAGCAAATGACCCCGTTAATCTTTTCTACTAATCCCTGGGTTTGAGGTGAGTATGCTGTTGACCAGTCTTGTATTATTCCAAGGTTGTCACATATTTTTTTTACTAATTCATTCTTAAAGTGTGAACCCCTGTCGCTAGAAAAGTGTTCGAAACATCCCCATTGTAAAACTATTTGAATTATAAATTTTACTGTTGATTCTGCTGTAGCAGATTGTATGGCTTTTGTAAAAATGTATTTTGTGTTGTTACATGTCGCTACTAAAATATATTTTTTGTTATTACTAGATGGCAAAGGCCCTAAATAATCGAAAGTAACCCTAGAAAGGGATTTACCTGTTAATGGGATTGAATGTAATCTACCTACTGGCTTCCCACTTAATTTTTTATTCATTTGACAATTTGGACAAGATTTGATAAAATTCGGAACATCCTTGTTGAGATTTGGTCAATAATATTTTAATTGTATTTTATGAATAGTGCGAGAGATACTGCTATGCCCTCCTCTAATAAGTGATTCATGATAATGTTTAAAAATATTTGGTATTATTTTTTGTGGTAGTACCAAAATTGATTCAATTGTTTTATTTGGTGTGTATTTTTTTAAATATAATATCTCGTCTTTGAAAATAAATTGTCTTGACTTTCTATTAATATTTATTGGGACCTCCTTGTCATTTAAAGCATTTATTATCCCTTTGTAAAATTCATCTTCTGATTATAATGATTTGATTTTAGTGAAATTTATAGTTTGAATATCTGTGACCGAATTTACTATTATGTTGTTTACAGGATTTCGTGATAACGCGTCAGCGATTCTATTTTCCTTGCCCTTTTTGTAAATTATATCAAAGTCAAAATCTAATAATTTTAAAGTTAATCTGGTAATCTTTGCTGGTGGTATTTTAACATTTTTATAATATTGTATCAAAATGTTGTCGCAAAAAAAAACAAAAAAGTGACGACCAAAAAGAAATTCTCTAAAATATTGTACGCCAAAATATTGTCCTAACAATTCTAATGTTGTTGAAGAATATGTTAATTCATTGGATAATAGTTTTCTACTTGCATATCCTATAGGGAATAATGCGTTATTGTGTTCTTGTTCTAAGTAGGCTCCTAAACCATTAATTGAAGCATCTGTTGTTAAAAATGTTTTATTAGAATCATCAAAATGTTTGAGTAATGGTTGTGTGCAAAGGCGTAAAGCATTTGAGTAAATGTATTTGAATAAAAGTATTCAAATACTTTCATTGGTATTGAATAGTATTTTTAAATACATTTAATAAAAAGTATCTGAGTAGTATTTTAAATACAATTATTTAGTATTTAATACTGTTTAATATTCAGTACTCTTAATATACTTTTCTAATTTGCTAACCGTAACACAGCAATCAAATTAAACTCAGTCAAAATGNTTTTTTTTCTAATTTGCTAACCGTAACACAGCAAGCAAATTAAACTCAGTCAAAATGAAAATTGAGAATAATTCTCTGTTATTTTATATGTTACATTATAGTATAACATAATTATTGTGCTTATCTAAATGCTATTATGTATACATCTATTTTTAATACATCAGTTGAACCTACAATAGCCTATTGCAGGTTCAAATGATTTACTCTATTGTCAATAAGACATACTTTACAGGTTTTTACACATGTACTAATATTTATTTTTTTCACTGATTAGTCTACAATAATTAATTTTATTTACCTCTAACAAAAAATATCGAAAATAATAAATGAGTTCTCTTAATTTAAGAGTACTCAATATTTGACTCAAATTACCCTCTTGGTAATTATTTAGGTGGAACCTTTTGCTCTTAGTTAAAATAAAAACATTATTATTATTTTTTAATTGTATTCTTAGAATTTGAAATACTTTTGTAAAGTAATTGAGTATTACTCAAATACTTTTGTATGAAAAGTATTCAAATAGTATTTTAAATACATTTTTTTTTAAATATTTGAGTATTATTTAAAATACTTTTTAAAAGTATTTCTTACAACTATGGTTGTGTGGTTAAAATTTGTTTTAATATGTTAAATGCTTTATTATGCATAGTAGACCATTCGATTTTTTTTATTATAATTAATAATTCTAGTGATTATAATTCTAGTAACAACTATAAGTTGTTTGGTTGTAAACCCACAGGGGCGAATTTAAAATAGCACCATTTTCACAAAAGTCAATTTTTTCAATTTAACTTTTGAAAATGTTTGGAAATACCACATCCTTTAAACATATGTAAAATTAAAGCTTATTTTACGTACTAGAAGTTAAAAAATTTAAGTTATTAAAACTAAGTTAAATCTATCCCGACGATTCTTTTTTTGTGCATAAAGCTGCCAAAAGTTTTTGATTATTTACGCGACCATGGGGGATTCAAACTTTTTTACAAGTCAATTTTTTCAACTTAAATTTTAAAAATTTTTCAGAAATACTGCGTCTTTTAAATAAATGTATAAATTACAGCTTATGCTGCGCACTATGAATTAAAAATATTAATTTGTACCGGCGACTTATTTTCTAGGTGTAAATGGCCGTCGAAATTGAACAAATATATTAAATATTTATTAATAAATTTAATATTATTAAATATTTATTCATATTACAATATGATGGTTATTCGAAAAAAATCTCCAGAAAAAAGGCTAAAAGGAAGTCGTTAAACACCTTTAACGAACAATTGTTAGATACTCATGGATTAAATTTTATTTCTTATTCAATTGTGCTAAAAGCAGCACCATAACATAAAATTCCGTTTTGTGGCACTGGCTGTTGATTAAAAAAATCATGTGGTACGTGTGTAGTTCTATCTGATCGTTCAAACTTTTTTATTTCATATACTCTCCTTTTACGACATTCAGTTTGAACTTTTTTATACAGTCGCTTATCGATAACGTCCCTCAGTGGTTTTAAAGGTTTTTTTGGGGGTACTCTTGTAAATGGTGGTATTAATAAACCGTTTTGTAAAAGCATGTTAAGGCAAGTTAAGTACATGTAACGCTCAGATAGTTCATCTTCATCGATAATCATATTTTCCAATGTATTTATCCACAAAGTGACTTTTTTTCGTTCTTCTGGAGTGTAATAATGCATCAAAACTTTGGCTAACTGGCGATCATACATAAAATGCTGTTCCGGTTTAATACACCCATTGGGTAAACAATTTGGTGGATTATAATGCATTATGTCTTTTGTCACTTGGTCATCAGTAACACTACCAAAATTTGTTGGTCTTTTTTCTAGAGATGAATTCATGGCAATTTTAACTTTGATTATATTTAGTTTGATATTTATAAATTAAATTGAATTTTATATAAAAATTATTTATTCTTCGTCATAAAATATTTAATTTAACCATAACAACAAGACAGATATTAAAACAATTATACCAACATAAATGTATTATTCTGTGGAAAATGTAAAAAATGTAAAAATCAAGCATGTGAAGTTTGTACAGTATAGTGTATAAATCAATTATTCCAGTATTAACTCAATAAAGTAATAAGGAGTAGAATGAATATAGAAGACACAATATGTATGTTTTTCAGCGAACAAAAAGAAGCTTAAAGCCGTTTATTAAAAGTAATAATGTTGATTTACATACAGCGTAATTAAAGAAAGATAATTTATTTGAAAAAATAAAATATTTCGTAAATAAACGGACCACATTGTTTAATTGGTTGATTGGTGTAGACGGTGATGCGTTGAGCAAAAATGTACTTACGGTACGGTATCACGATGGCAACTTCGACGTATATTTGCGACGGATCGTCGTCGACCGTGCAGCACTTGTTGGACTTTGTACCGTGACGAAGTGCATGTGGTGTTGGTCAGTCAAATTACCATATAGACGTAGTAAGGAAACGTATGGTGGTGTGGATCGTGGAGCCGCGTGTATCACGAAGCGACGCGGGACTGTGTCACAATAATCAAACTATACTAATATCGTCGGTCTGGCCAACTCTGCTATCCTGCAATTGCCAGTAGCTCTTAAATATTTATCAAGTTTGGAGTCGTAAGGTTATTGTCAATTATACCATAATTTAATTCGTGACAGATATATATAAAATGTTGTTTAAAAATATAAATATATTTACTTATCGGGCCATCTCGATGATCTAAAAACTGTGATGAGTTACTGTTATTATAAATTTGAAATATACAACTAAAATCAAAATTATAACGATTATAAAAGTTATTACATTCCAGAAAAACAAAAAAAAGTCACTTTGTGGTTAAATACATTGGAAAATATAACTATTGATGAGGATGAACTGATTGAGCGTTCTATGTATTTTATTTGCTTTATCATGTTTTTAAAAAAATTTTATTAAATTAAATGAGTAATATTTATTTTCAAACACAATACAAATATAATTTTCCGTAACACTATTTACAATATAAAGGTTCTTAAAGCTAAAAGAAGACAACGTGTAATTTTACCAAGTAATAAATCAATTAAATGCTACACGTAAAGGGAAATGTTCTTTTTGGAATTTATACTACAAAAGAAATAAATTTAGGAAGTATATTACAATCAAACATTTTGGATGAATAAATATCAAAGAAATTTATAATATAAATCAGTTAATAATATATATTGTCAAAAAAATAAGTATATAGTCACTAATATTTTACACTCATAGATGTTACATGGAGTATTTACTAACGGAAATTGTAGATCCTCAGTTCCTTAAGAGGTAGCTCAGGTCAGATATAAAAAAAACCCCAAAAAAATAAAACGGCGCCCGTGTGGACTGCATCCAAGTGCAGCTCGTGACGTAATACCCCTGGTTGACGACGTCATATCATTGACCTAAGGGGTAAGCCGTTATGACGTCATACCTGAACCTACTACAGTTTGCTCATTACATTACAGCCTTATGACATCACGCTAACGTAACTCTATGCTATGATAAGGTGAGCCCAATGACGTGCCCTATCACGCCGTGATTGTGCCGTCGGCAATGACGCTGTCATGTACGACCCTATACCCTACGACTACAACGTCGGGCGGTGCTTCATCGATCAGCGCAAAGGCTCCCTAACTCTATCGTCATGGATACCACTATCGACAAGTCGATGTCGGGTTGATCAAAAAAAAAAAAAAAGTTCATTTTCCAGAGTACCTACGCGCAAACGGTTAAACTTGTGTAGAGTACGCGTCGAGTCCGCGCGTTTGATGTGTCACAACCCTATATACCGGCGTGCCAATTCACCCCGACGCTGTCGTTTAAGTTTAAGTCGATGTTTCGTAAATGATGAATACATAATTTTGACGTCATCGGGTTGCAACTCGATTTGTACGGGCGAATACTTCATTTCTATTATAAACTATTAGGATCCGCCGTCCAGCTATATTATTTGATAGTGTTCAACGGTTTGTATAAACGGAATGTAACATGAACTTATTAAATTAAAATTATTAAAAATTAAATATAAACATATAGTTTTAGTATAAATGTATATGCTATTATTGTAATAAGTAAAGGATGTAGTCAGGTGATTATGGAAAACAATATCTAGTAAACTAGAAAAGTTATTAACTTAGTAGGTAACATTGACGGTTAACTCAAATACAGAAATGTGTCGTAATATACTCAGCACTATCATAATATGAAATAACAGTGGGCTGCTCTGTTTGTGTCCAAAGCAATGGTCGTTCATTTAAGATTATAAATAATTTTATTTATAAATTATATATACTCATAAGCTTAGAATAACATGATTGATTTTCTTTAAGATATTCATTACTTGTCAATAAAATAATAAGCTATATACATAGCTTATATATAAAAACAAATTAAAGGGATTTTCTCCTACCGATTATCACGTTTATACATGTAAAAAAAAAAATCAAGTTTTGCTATATAACTGGAGAAACAGCATATATACGTTTAATAATTCGTTTTCATGTGTTCTACTAGTTTCTCTATGTTCATCATTTTTATTTTTTAATATAGAAGATCGAAAATCATTAAAAACGTAAGTAATATATATTTTTTTTTTCAAAGTAAAATAACTTTGACAATAATATTTTTTTAATTTTCAGTAAAATTATTTCAGTATATTCCCTGAGTTACATTTCAAATTGGGGAGAAATAAATCAAAAATCGAGTTAAAGTATGCTATATTTTACATATTTATATATTTTTTCCGAAGTAATGTTTGTAAAAATAATTTTTAATTTTTAGGAAAATATTATCACTGTTTTCAATTACAAATTATGGAAAATAAATTTTTCACCTCGGTGTTAATTGTATTTTTTGTTTGAGAATAAAAATCATAGTAAGTTATTACATTTTTTGTTACTAAACTCTACTATTCGGTTCGAAGTGTACATATTTCTTTTTATTAATTTTAATCGTAAAACTTTTATACATTACATCTTCTATTGAGCATAAATGTTGTTGAAGATATCGTAAAGTACTTGAATGCGCAAAATGTTTCTCAATTTAATATATTGGCAGACATTTTGTAAGAATCAAGAAATTTTACGGTGTCTGAGCAATGGATTAAATATGAAGATGCATTAAAAAAACTCGTGACGCTAGATATGATAAGAAATTACTGTAAAATTTATAAATCTGAAATACGTTCAGTTGTATACAATTTATTGTTTGGGCAAAAAAATTATTTTAAGTTTAATTTTTACTCTATATTTTCACATAATGTAAACAATGAAATTATGTATTTGATATGTACAACTGATGAATGCATACGTGATATGGCGTATAACCAAGATAGTTTTACGATAAAATATATCATAGATCAAATATCCATTAATCAGAATAGTATGTATTATTTAATTTTTAATTTTCCATCACAGTTCAAATATCATTATTGTGATGATAAATTATTTAACCCTTTAGCAGGCGCGTGTCTATTTTTAACGTTCATAGTCGCGTGGGGGTCTATCAGACCCCATTTTTAAGAAAGTATATACTATGTATAAAAGAGTTCATTTTTTTTTAATTCAAAGACATTGTTTGTTACCATATTATATATAAATATGAATAAAAATTCAATAATAAAAATTAAAAAATAAATAAATTACAAAATTATGTGCATTACTAACAATATTATATATATATATATATATATATTTTTTAAGAACGTTTATAATGGCAAAATCGGAAATGCTTATACATTTGATTTTCAATAAATTTTATTCATGTTTTTATTTAAATTTTTATGATTAGTATATTATATAAAGCATTTTTAAACAGTCTTAAATAAATAATAATAATAATAATATTGACTGTTGAATAATTTAATTATTTAAATAAAAAATAATCATATTCTATAAACAAATTTATTGTATGTTTATATATATACATATTTATAATTATTACACATCTGTAGTTAAAAGTTAACTATTTAAAATGTATTGATTCGAAGAGAATCAATCTAAAAAGAGAAATTACATTTAACGTAATTAAAATTTCAATTTTCAAACAATCTTTATTAATTTTTTAAATAATTTATCACTTATGGTGTCATATTGGAAGCTATAGCATTTTTTCCATATGAAATAATACCCAACACAATATTGAAATGTTACTATTCAATTAAAAAAATAAAATAAAAAAAAACTTTAAATGAATATTACACATTGAACTGAATAGTTGAATAGTGGTGTATGGTTTGTGAAATAAATATATATTTTTGTTATATACATTAAATGTATAACAAATTTTGTTATATACTAAGATTTACTAATCTTCTTTGTCAATATGTCGAGTTCACATGAAAATGTTTGCGGTTGCGGTCGATCGTTTATCGATAATGACGAATTAAGATTGCTTTATAAATTGAATCTGGGTCATCGACAAACGTTTATTGCTAAATAAAATATAAATTTTCGTATTTTTAAATAATACTACATGTATTATATGCAAATTTTACAAAGAGTTTGTTTATTTCACGCAATGTCGTAGATAGCAAATTTAATTTGTACTAGTTAGAAAAAAAAAATCGCAATTCGGAAGAAAACGTCCATAATAAAGCTGATGTGGTCTGATTTTTTGGTAGATATCAACGCGTGTAAATATTTCATCTCTCTTAGATTCTATGCATACAAGGCGAACTGTCCACGGAGCCAAGGGGACAAACACCCATTTGGATTTATGTTTCAATTCTTAAATGTGGTCAGTTTAAGTAATAACAGATTCGTGAAATATGATTACACATTATCAAACAATATTTTGTTATAAGTTACAACCGTTATTTGTATATAATTATATTATAAACTTATAAGGTAAATGTTTAATGCTATTACTACCGTATACTTTTTCAGAATTTT